CAGAATTGGAACTGGAAAAAACAATATGAACTGCTGAGGTCTTTGATAACGTGCCTATATAATGTATATACATGCATATATGTGTATAGAGTAGTGATCCTCTTCCATTCAGAGACCTAGAAACAATAGCACTCAGATTGTTGTCTTGAAATACCATTCTCATGAAAAGAAACCAGGGTTTCTTAGAGGTACAGCTGTTCCTAGCTTTGGGAAAGGAAATGGACAATATAAGAACAGATCATCTTGATATACCAGATAGGAAGAAATCTATTGAAGTTTTTTTTGTTGTTGTTTTTAAAAATATATTTTTATTGATTTTTTACAGAGAGGAAGAGAGAGGGATAGAGAGTTAGAAACATCGATGAGAGAGAATCATCGATCAGTTGCCTCTTGCACAGCCCCTACTGGGGATGTGCCCACAACCAAGGTACATGCCCTTGACCGGAATCAAACCCGGGACTGACCTTTCAGTCCGCAGGCCGACGCTCTGTCCACTGAGCCAAACCGGTTCCAGCAGCTATTGAGTTTATTAGGGTCATATCAAAAGGCTTTGGGAGAAGCATGGAACAGACTGAGATACCTCAGTGTGGGTTGGGGAAATGAGAAGAGATAAACCAAAGAACTTATATATTATACTTACTAGAGGCCTGGTGCATGAAGTTTGTGCAGAGGAGGTCCCCTCAGCCCAGCCTGCACCCTCTCCAATCCGGGACCCGTCATGGATGTCCAACTCACAATCTTGGACTGCTGGCTCCTAATCGCTCACCTGCCTGGCTGCCTGGCTGCCTGGCTGCCTGGCTGCTCCTCACTGCCTCTGCTTGCCAACCAACTCACCCCTAACTGCCTCCTCTGCTGGCCTGGTTGCCCCTAACTGTACCCTTCTTCTAGCCTCTTTGTTCCCAACTGCCCCCCAACCCCGACTGGCCTAGTCACCCTCACTTCCCCCCCTGCCAGCCTAATTGCCCCCATCTACCTCCCTGCCAGCCTGTTGTCCCTCAACTCCCCCCTCCCACCAGCCTGGTCACTCCTAACTGCTCCCCCACCAGCCTGGTTGCCTCTTACTGCCCCCCCTGATGGCCTGGCTGCCCCCAACTACACTCCCCCACCCCCGCTGACCTGGGTGTTTCTAACTGCCCACCCAATGTCCTGGTCACCCCCAACTGCCCCACACACCAGCCTGGTCATCCCATGCAGCCTGCTTATTCAGTCATTTGGTCATCCCTCACTAACCCCCCTGCTGGCCTGGTTGTAGGCAGCCATCTTTGTGATAGTGTGATGGTTGATTTGCATATCACCTCTTTATCATATAGGATATGCATAGCCCATGGACATGGGCAATCGGGTAGTGAAGACTGGGGGTGGGCATGGATAGGGACTGGGAAGAGGGGTAAAGGGGTAAAGAGGGGTAAATGGGAGACATCTGTAATATTATCAACAATAAAAATATTTACATTAAAAAAAAGGCTTTGGGAATCAACCTGGAAGATTCCATTGGCCATAAAAAAAAAAGACACTTTGGGCTTCAGTAAAGTGCAATGGATTGAAACCCATTAGACATGTTTAAACTGTAAATTCAAGATATTTAGAAAGCTTATTGGATCACATTTTGAGGAAAGGAACCAATTTTTAAAATTAGGTAAATAAGATAAAATGGATTTTCCTGCCTTTTCTATATGAGCTATACCAGAGGATATAGCATATAAGGGGAGGAAGTGATTCCTTATAGTTATTCAAGCTAATAAATGAAATAAAATTAGAATTTCACCCATTTGCAATTCCTCAATGAATCAATGGATCTATGCGTTGAAGATCAACTGCTGTATCATCAAAAAGGAGCAAACCCAGCCACCCTGTGCCTTCTCACCAAAGGCGGCCAGGGTCTGCTCAAGCTGATGATCCAGCTGCTGATTTGTAAGAGACACCGGGGCCAAAACCATGAGCGTGCAATCAGTAAAACCCAGACTGAAAAATTCCAGACCAGTAGCCTGGGTCTTCAGCAGAAAGTGGAAGGGAAAGAGATGAGGGGAAAACCTGTAGATTAGACACTGGAAGAAATGACCTTTAAAAAAAAAAAAGTGGGCAAGAATAGTGTCTAGAGCTGCTTTCAACCAAATCTATAGGATACAGGGACGCCTAGCTGGCATGGCTCAGAGGTTGAGTTGACCTGTGTATGAACTAGGAAGTCACAATTCCATTCCCAGTCAAGGCACGTGCCCGAGTTGCCGGCTCGGTCCCCAGCGTGGGGTGTGGAGGCAGCGGATCCATGATTCTTTCTCATCATTGAGGTTTCTCTCTCTCTCTACAGTAACCTCTCTGAAATCAATAAAAATATGTTTTGAGAAAAAAAAAAAAGGACACAGGGAGAGAGGTTACTCTGGTGGGGAGCCAGTGCTGTGACTGGGATAGAGCATGAATGGGCGAGAGGTGGCTGCTATGAAGGTTTTGTGTCAATTTGGCCAGGTTAGAACCAATATTTGGTCAAACATTCTGGATGTTGTTGCGAAGGTGTTTTTTTTGGATATTCACATGTAAATTAGTATATTTTGAACAAAGCAGATTATCCTCCATAATGTGGGTGGGCCCCATGCAATCAGTTGGTCTTCAGACAATTAAAACTGACGTCCCCTGATCAAGAAGGAAGTCTACCAGCAAACTCCCCCGTGTATCCGGCCTGCAACTTTGGATTCACCAAATCTCCATCGTGTGAGCCAATTCCTTAAGCTCAATCTCTGTATGTGCTTACACATCCTGTCGGTTGTTTCTCTGGAGAATCTTGACCAATGCCGCTGGTCAAGTTCTATTTCTTGGCCCCAGTGATAGTGACAAGGGTGTCTGCCTTATAATCCACTATGTTTGACATCGTTTTTAACGTCTTACTTTATAATGAAAAGGAAACAAATAGAAGTATAATTTGTAGTTAAGTATGTAAGTAAATATGGAGAAAGGGACCTCTAAGGATGAATACGAACTGTATTTGAGGTTTGGGGGTGGGGGGGAGGGATGGCTAAGCTCTGAACGTTTCTGGGCTGCGCACTTCATGTGCCAGAGCGCGTGTGTGTACATTTTGGGTATAATTAGAAAAAATGCTGGTCCCTGTTGTGATGGACATGGGAAGGTCCCCCCATCATTAGAAATCTAAACCCTTTGAGGAAATGGCTTCCTACAGGGATGGGACCCACCAACCACAGGAGAAAGCGGCAAGGCATTGAGATGATGAAATCATCGTTCATTTGAGAAATGAAACACAGCTGCTTTCCCCTTCAGTACCGTGAACATTTGCATTTCTGAGTGTTCAATAAGCAAATATACTGTATTTCCTACAGAGAGGACGAATGGAAAAGCAGGAGCAGGAGGGTCGTTAACCGTTCCAGGAAACACCACAGCTTTTGCCACCAGAACCTTGAGGCCTTGTAAGAGGCTCCCTGTAAAAATCTACTCTCCTTCAGGATCTGCATGTCTTTGAACATCAGCCAGCACTGGGGTTGCCGAGTGTGAGCGAGAAACACATGCAGTGACCTTGTATTTGTTACTTAAAACCCTAGCGTGCCCCAAATCCAGACAATGCGTTCTTTATCCTGAAGTCACTTGATTAGCCTTGAGAACCTTACTGAGAAGGGATGTTTGTGCTGATAAAAAGCAACAGCTCTTTAGAAATAAAGTACCCCCTGCCCCCCGAGTTGGTCAAGGCATAACCGTCTGCCAATCTCCCACCTTCCGTTCCTCACTGCAAACTTCAAAGGCGTCACTGCCGAACCGGGTTCCGCCACATGTACACAAGTGGCCCTGAGTGACAAGGTCAGCAGGCGCCGCCTTTCCTCTTGGCAGCCTCTGGCTAGCTGAGCCATCCAGCTATACGGCTTAATTTAAACAACAGCTTTATTGAAGTATATTAACCACATCATTTCCACTTGGCGTGCACAGTTCAATGGTGTTTCATATGTGGAGCTGAACAATCAACACAGAAACTTTCAGAGCATTTTCATTGCCTCAGAAGGAATCTCAGACCCACTAGCCATCGCTATTTCCCCATTTCCCCTCTTCCTGGGCCTCGGCACCACACACTTCCTGTTTCTATAGGTATCAAGGGGATCTCGAAATATGGGCTTCTCTCACGTGGCCTAATGTGTAGCGTGTTACCAGCTCCATTCCCTCTTATTGCTGCTTAAAACCCCGCTGTGTGGCTGTAGTTAGTGTTCCTCTAACATGTCTGATCCACGGTGAGCACTCCCTGCGTAGGCACCGGGACAAGGGACAGGAAAGTCAGGCAGCCTTTGCCCCAGAGGGACTGCAATAACCCTTCCTCCCCACCACTGGTGTAGGGCCGACCCTGACAGCTGCTGACAGCTGCAGAGAGGGCACAGTCAGGAGAGACGACTCTGGTGGGTGGGGAGAGGAGGAGGAGGATGAAGGTTCGGGGGAGCGGCACTTGCAGATACATGTTGAGGCTGTCAAGTGCAGGGCCAGGCACTGAGGCAAGAGGAAGGAAGGGCGGTGGCGGAGGCACAGGAGGCCGCTGGTGCAGGCGGGCAGAGGAGCGCCCGCAGGACAGCCGGGAGGGGAGCCCAGGGCCCCAAATTAATACTCAGCTTCAGTCACAACCTTTATTTTTATCCTTATTGAGGAGTAAAACATAAAAAGCAATCAAAACGTTATTTTCTAAAAGTAGTTTTCCGGGTGGGTTTCGGTTGCTCTCCCCAATGATCGGGCTGACACCTCGAGCTCCAGCTCCCAGCTCCTCCGCAGAGATCCGCTCACCGGCCCCCCGAAACCCAGGCGAACCCTCTGCCTCTTAACAAACAGGCAACAAGCCTCCAGGGAAGCCAACAGCCTTTTCCAGCTGAACCCGAGGTTTCAGAGCGTCCATGGCTGCAGCGGAGGGGGGGGCGGGGAAGGAGAGCGGGCCCTCGGGAAGGCCCAGCCTCCCTCGCTCCGTCTGCCTCCTCCGGTCGGTGCTCCCAGGGCCGTGTTCACGCTCGGAGCAGCGGCGGGAAGGCAGCGCTTCAGTAGTAACCAAGGCACACCTTGTCCATGGACGTCTTTATTCTGCAAGAAACGGGGAGAAGGTGGTGAACCGGGTCAGCTCTGGAGACGCAGAGACGAACGCAGCCCAACACCGAGCAAGCCGTCCCGTGTGAAGGCAGCTATTTCTGCTGCCTCCACGGGCCACGCGTGGCCGCAGGCAGAGGCAGGAGCCCAGCGCCCGCCGGCGGGAAGGAGAGCAGGCCGCTCCCTCCTGCTCTCGGCGACAATGACCTTCGGGCTGGCTCACCTGTCGATCGGGTAGGGCTTCTCACAGAGGTTGGCCAGCACGTACAGATGTCTCAGGGCGTACTCGTACTGCAGGAAAACAGACCGACGACACAGTCAGACATCCCTGCACTGTGCCACTTCCCTGGCTACAGAGGCAAAGCGTCTTCAGCAGGGATTCCTGACCTGTTTTGGGTCAGGGACCCCTCCCCACCTTTTGATAAGCTGGAAAGATTCATGAACCATCCCCCCAATGCTCCCGTCGTGGGGCGGGCAGCCCCCGAGAGCACGAGCCCAGGTGAGGCCTCCTGGGGCAGAGCCCGCAGGCCCCGCTCCCTCCGGAACCCAGCACCGCCCCGGCCACCGGCTTCGTTTCTTGGAGCCTCGTTCCGGGAGGGACAATGGGTGAGGAAGACGGGTGGGAAGGGAACGCGCAGGTGAGGACCCGAAAACCCGGGGGTGCCTATCGTGAGGAAACTCCAGGGGCTCGGAGAACGCTCAGAGGAAGAGGAAGAGCTTCACCGTGTGATTCCAGAGGCAAACAGTACTGCACAGAATCAAGCATTCACTCGATAAATGGGAAGGCTTAAATTATTAAGCCTCCCCGCCCCCCCCTCCGCTGCGGCCATGGATGCTCTGAAACCTCGGGTTCAGCTGGAAAAGGCTGTTGGCTTCCCTGGAGGCTTGTTGCCTGTTTGTTAAGAGGCAGGGGGTTCGCCTGGGCTTCGGGGGGCCGGTGAGCGGATCTCTGCGGAGGAGCTGGGAGCTGGAGCTCGAGGTGTCAGCCCGATCATTGGGGAGGGCAACCGAAACCCACCCGGAAAACTACCTTTAGAAAATAACGTTTTGATTGCTTTTTATGTTTTACTCCTCAATAAGGATAAAAATAAAGGTTGTGACTGAAGCTGAGTATTAATTTGGGGCCCTGGGCTCCCCTCCCTGCCTCCTCCTAAGGAAATACTGTGTTAAATAAATGAAAACAAACAAAAAAGCTTCCTAATACCAGAGAGCCACCTCCCGCGTGGCCAGGACCCCACCCCGTGGAAGCCCACTTCATCCTAATCTAAACCCAAGTTTGAGTAGCCAGGCGAGGCTGGTGACCACCACACTGCAGGACACGGCTCCCGCAGGAGGCCGGCTGTCCGGGAAGAGAAGCGGGGACTGCAGTCTGGGGGTGGTCAGGGCCACTCGGCTCTCCTGCAGTGCAATGTGAGCACCAGAGGTGGCTGTGCCCCATAAAACTTTGTTTATAAAAACTGGGGTGGAGGGGACCTCCGGTGCGGGCAGGCCTGGAGCTGCGGGCTGGAGCCTTCCCCGGGAGGATCCAGCACCACGTGGTACTGATCGAAGAGGAGGCTGGTTAGGATCTTCCTCCTCCCCCATGGCCAGGGCCTGCCTTCAACACGATTTCTTGGGGAGCAGCCAGAGCAGATCCCAAAGGGAGAAAAACCTGTGTGGCTGGTGTGGAGGGCAGGGGTGAGGGTGGGGGTGGCAGGGCCAGAGGCATGAAGAGAATGGAGTTGAGACATCTACGCCTGGGGAACTCCCAGCCACGGGGATGACGACGGGCCCCGGGGCCGCACTCATGGTCAGCGAGTCTGACCACCTTCCTCTCCCGCTGCGGCAGGCCTGGGGGAGCCATTGTGCTCGGCCTGGGCGGACCCTGCGACAAGATTCCAGGGACAGCAGTGCCGTCCCTTTGGGGTCAGGATGCAGGGCAAGGCCCGCCTGCCCATGGAAGTCTGGGTGCAGCCACAACGGTCCTGCCCGGCCCAGCTTACCGTGGGGGTGTGCCAGTTGAAGCAGTGTGTGCGGAAGTGGGACACGGCGGCCTGGTAGCAGTCGTGCGCCGTGAGCGGGGCCCTCTCGGACAGGAGCCTCTCGGTCTCGTCATCGGACCGCGTGAGCAGGGAGACGATCTTCCGCACCGACTTCTCCATGATGTGCCTGCTCTGTGGAGACACGCGTCCTTGCAGATGTATCGCACTTCACCCCTCCAGGCCTCTCGGACCCTGGCTGGGACAGGACCTTCCCTTCCCACAGCCCCACCCCCTATGGTAAATCGGATGCCAACAGGCGCATCCTGCAGGCGGCGGAAGATGTGGCGCCTGTGACAGCCGGAGACCTTGGGAAATCCCGTGCCTTTTGGGGGGGTCTCCCGGCATCTAAGTACCTCAGGAGCAGGCATGCGGGCCACTCCGAGGAAAGGAGGGAAAGGCCCAGCTCCCAAACAGACTGATGTCCAAAGGGTCAAGGACTGATTCCCGATCAAAGACATGTACCTGGATTGCAGGCTGGATCTCTGGTTCAGGTCACAGCAGGTGCAGGAGGCAGCCAATGGCTGTGTCTGTCTCACGCACTCTCCCCCGCCCCCTCTTTCCCTACCTTCTTTCCCTCCCTTCCACTCTCTCTAAAAGTCAACTGAAAAATATCCTCTGGTAAGGATTAACAACAACTAGAATAATTTTCGTTTCTAAGTGATTTAAGACTTTTTAAATCTCAGTGTTCATTTCTAATGCAGGAAATAGTGATATAACCATCATAAATATTAACTCTTTGGGGTGAATAATTTTAAGAGTGTAAATAGGTATAAGACTAAAGAAGTATGAGAAGGCTGGTTACACTGTGGCAGAGACAAAAAGCATTATACCCTGGTTATTATACCACAAGCAGAGGCTCGATGCACGAAATTGGTGCGTGGGGGTGTGTGTGTCCCTCAGCCCAGCCTGCACCCTCTCCAATCTGGGACCCCTCGGTGGGATCAGGCCTAAACGGGCAGTTGGACATCCCTCTCACAATCCTGGATTGCTGGCTCTCAACTACTTGCCTGCCAGACTGATCACCCCCTAATCACTCCTCTGCCAACCCGGTCACCCCTAACAGCCCTCCCCTGCAGGCCTAGTCACTCCCAACTGCCCTCCCCTGCTGGCCTGGTCGCCCCGACATGCCTTCTCCTGCAGGCCTGGTCCCCCTCAACTGCCCTCCCCTGCAGCCTGGCCCCCCTCCCTCCAATTGCCCTCCCATGCTAGCCTGATTGCCCACAACTGCCTTCCCCTGCCAGCCATCTTGTGTCCACATGAGGGTGGCCATCTTTGACCATATGAGGGCGACTGACCATCTTGTGTGTTAGAGTGGTGGTCACTTCGCACATTAGCTCCTCACTAAAAAGGATAGATAGTGTGAGAGACCAGTCGTTGGGATTATTAGATACAGGGTGAGGAAAAGTAGGTTTACGTTGTTCCCATGGGAAATAACACAATCATTCCTAAGTAACAGCACAGGAATAAACGCACGTCCCCTGGCTCCCAGCCGCTCCCCGGACTCACCTCCAGGTGCCTGTGGATCTGCTCAACCAGGCGCCGGGACTCCTGCAGGTCGTTGGTGAGCATCAGCTTCCTCTTCATGATCGAGAGTGGCACCTCGGGGCTCGGGGTGAGGTCGAGGCGGCGGACGGGAGGCAGGGAGATGGGAGCGCTGGCCTTGTGTTTCACGCCCTGAAACTGCATCAGCTTCATGGTGGAGATGGACTGGGGGTGGAGAGAGAGAGAGAGAGGAACTGGTTGGAATGGGAAGAGAAGGTGGGCCAGCCTTACCCTGGTCCTGGAGGCCCACAGTTCCCGCCACACGGTTTCAGGACCACTGAAGGGCCGAGTCGCAGCCTGAAAACACGCACCGCCCTGCCCAGGTGGCTCAGTCCCTGCAACATCGTCCCGTAAACCAAAAGGTTGTGGGTTCAATCCCTAGTCAGGGCGATGCTTCTCTCATAGTAACGTTTCTCTCTCTCTTTTAAAAAAACAAATCAGGGAAGACATATCCTCAGGTGAGGATTAAAAAGACAACTACATGCCAACACTGGGCAAGACAACACAAGCTGAGCACCTGCAATCCACAATGATGAGCTTCAACAAAGCGGGCTCCCTTTGCAGAACTGCGATTCTGCCCTGTTCGAAAGGCAGCCACTCCTCCTGGGCTGACCACCCTCCCTGCTCAGCACCTGTCCCTCGTAACCAGGAAGGTGCAGAGTGCGTCCAGGTTAGAGCTGAGATCTGGGTCTACTGGGCTGGGCAGAGCTAATGCCACAGAGGAGTCCCCTCAGGCCCCACTGGCTGTGACCTTGTCCGGCAGCCCTGCAAGGGGAAAGTCTCTAACTTACAGCCAAAGGGTCAAGGGAACCCCTGCAGCCTGCAGAGCGAGGCGGGACCCGGTAATCCGAGGCGTGCGTTCCGGGGGCCGGGCTGGGGAAGCTGGAGCAGCTTCCGACGGAGGGCCCTCTCCCGTGGGCCTGGCCCGTGCTTAGTGCTTTTTGCCACACGACCTTTCTGAACGCCCCTCGTTACCCACACACGAGGGCTCTGACGTGGAGGAAATGGAGACTCAGGTGAGGCAGCTTGCCCCTAAGTCTCACGGCTTTGCCAGTTTGACCCTAGCAAGGTCCGATTCCAAAGCCCAAACAGGTCCCCAGGGTGGAGCGGCCACGAGGGGCAAGGCCACCCCGACCCCAGCCACTTTCCCCGCCAGGCCCCGCTCCTTCACCAAGACTTAACGTGGCCGGGCCCCGGGACCGACGGGGCTCACCTTGTTCCCGTACTGCATGACGTGGCTGGTGTTGGTGTGCGTCTTCACCAGCTGGTACTGCTTGTGCAGCGTCTCCTTGGTCAAGTCCTCCTGCAGAAATGGGAACAGTGAGTCCCTCGGCCGTCGGCGCCTGGAGGCTAAGCTCGGCGGGCAGCCTGCCCTGGGGCTCACCATGTCCGAGTCCTCCATCCAGTTGACGCTGTACCAGTCCCCCAGGTACGTGGACCTCTGCTCGTCGTAGTAACAGGCGTAGGAGGACTCCTCCGGGTTGGCGGCTGTCGTTGCATACACTGTGAGGAATGGAAGACCCCGTTTAGTCCCGTCTCATTCTCTGCCGTGGGCTCCGTGTGAAGCCGCGTGCTTCCTCCTCCGGTGCAGAGTGCCGCCCTGGCCGGCGTGGGGAGGGCGGAGACGCCGTGCACCTGCGCTGCTCAGGACCATGGGACTGAAATGACCGGTGGGAGCGAGAGAAGCCAGCTGACGGGCACTCGGTGCAGCCATAAGCAGGCCCGCGGGCTTCCTGGGACATGGCGCTATTCTGGGATAATGCTGCCAGGTTTTCACAGCCTGGCGACCGGAAGCACAGGCTCCTCACTTAGCATTTACGGGCGGAACAGGCTGGCTCAACCTCTGCGATAGCTGCCACGGGCTCAGCGTTGTGCTTGACAAATGTTATCACTTAAAGTGATAAAAAAAAATAAACAGGTGCTATGGTTATACCCATTTCACAGGCGGGAATACCTGAGGGTCAAACGGGTAAGTCACCTGGCCAAGGCCGGAGCCCGCAAGTGTCGCGCCACGGAGGACGGAGGCCAGTCCCAAGACTGCGATGCCCATGGTCTACGGAGCTTTACAAACCCCGGACGAGCACCGAGAGCCTCACGTGCGATTCCTTCTTCTCTGGCCACTAACCCTGGAGGACTGGAGGCGGCCCACACCCCTCTCCCGCTTCTACGCTGCCCTGAGCCCGCGTGTGTAGACTTCTCGGCTCTTCCCATCGGCAGAGTCGGAGAGTGACCGACTGCACCGTGAGCGACGGGCCCACCCGGCCGGGCTCGGAGGCCGGGGCTCCCACACCTACCGTTGATGTCGGAGGGCAGGTGCTTCATCATGGACCCGGACTCGCAGGCTTCGATGTAGAACACCATCTGCAAACGAGGCGAACAGGACAGGTGGGCTCACCCCTCAGCCGGGCAGACCGCTCCCCACGGCCCTTTGGGCTCTGCCCACACTGACCCACCCTAAGAGTCTCTCGCTTTTGCTTCGGGAGACATCTCTGCTGCCACACAGAGCAGAAGGACTCGAATCTATTCATCCTAATGGAACGCACGATCCATGAGCTGGAATAACGCAGGGAAACGGAGCCACGGACGATGCAAAGGAAACTTGCACCATCGCGCCCCGGGCCTGGCACGGCAGGCCGTCTTCCCATGGTGCTACCGCGTCCGGGCCTGAGCTACGCGGTTTCTATTAGGCTGTTACAGGCGAGCGGGGGCCCAGGTGAAAAGAGCGGGGTGATATTTCCCTCCCAAATGCCCCAAACCCTGACAGTCAGAGGAGCAGCGCTCCTCAGAGTCCGGTCCTGGGCCCAGCAGCCTCCGGGTCAACTCGAAGGCAAAGCCTCAGGCCTCTCCCCAGACCGGAGTCAAACTCCGGGGCGGACCCACGCTCTTTGTTGCAATAAGATGCCAGTGATTCTGATCTACCAGCGAAAGCCCCAGGACCAGGCAAGGTCCATCCGGGAAACTGACCGAAAGGGCACCCTTTCCAGAAAACACGCCGCCGCCCGGAGTCAGAAGGCACGTCCCAGAGGTGGGCGCTGCCGGCGCTGCCTTCCTCGTACCCCCCCACAGCCACCCCAAAGGCTGACTTACCTTCTGGTACTTGTTGTGTTTGTACATGTACTGGATGGTCTCATTCAGTTCCTTTACATGAAGCTAAAAGGCAAGAATACTGGCGTTCAGATCAAGACCTCAAGAGAAACCGTTTGCTGGGCCCCCCACAGTGAAGCCCTGATGTGTCGGGCATTCTTACCCCTCAACCCCCGGAAACAATGCTAGAGGGCAGCAGCATCCAGGTGTCACCCGGGGGTTCATTCAGATTTAAAGGGGCAGGAGACCACGCTTCCGCACTCCTCCCTCCGCCCAGAGCACTCAGGGACAGGGTTCCACTACTGTGTCTAGTGCAAGGCGCCCACTGGGGCAGCCGCTGATGCAGCCATACGTGGAGAAATGTCAGGAAAGTGGCCGGAGGAGGTGCCCCCGGGCAGATTTCAAGCTGCTAAATGTGTGCCCCACACACCACCCTGGAGGGACGTTAGGAGCCCCCATCGCGGGTTAACGGCACCCCCACGGCTCTGGTCTCCATCCCAGTTTGCCCCCGCGGCTCGGCTCTCCACCCGTTTGTTAGGGACACTCACGTCGTCGTTGGGAAAGGCCAGGAGTCCCGTAGCTCCGTGATCAGTGAAGTACACAAACACGTGATCCCGAGGGCCGCTGCCACGGAGAAGAGAGTCAGAGTCCAGCGTTTCCTGTTCTATTTCTCTGAGATGTTGCTCTTACCTGCTCTCCCCCGTCCCCCCACAAACACTAAGAAATTTGAGGACTAGTCTCCCACCCAGATACAAAGAGGAACACAGGCCTGCCGCCCTCTGACCAGCTGAGCCACAGGCCTATCCGGGGCCTGGGACTGAGTGAGGCCCGGGAGGAGGAGACCGTGCTGCCACAGACCAGGTGTGATTTGCAGAGCAGGTCCTTTGGCAACGGGCCTCCTCCCAAGCAGTCATATGCTCTCACCAGACGTCCCCCAAATGAGCGAGGGGTCCAGGACACACATTCTGACGTGTCCTGCAGCTCCCTTGGGGCCCCGGGCCTGCAGTCAGGGCCCCCACCTGCCCACCCTCGCCAGGACTTCCCCTCAGGGCGCTGCTTCAAGGCCGCAGACATGTGACAACTACCTTGGAACCAATTTGGCTCATCGCACACAGCTGTCTGTCTCTGCTCTAATGCACGTGAACATACCTGTGCCTGGCCTGCCCTCTCGATGAGAGACACAGCAGCGTGTCCCAGTGCCTGGGGGACTCTGAAGGCCCTGACATTGTGTAAAACTGCCACAGAGAGAGATGCTCAAGAGGACACATCGCTCACCCACCGGGGGCGGGGCAGGCACGGGTGTGAGCTTTCCTGGAGTGAAGGCTAGCCCTGGGCTCCTGAGTGTGCTCCCCCCACTGCGCTGCCCTGTGCCCTGGCCCGCTGCCCTGTGCCCTGGCCTGCTGCGGGCTTCCCACCAGTCTCAGACGTACCACTGGCTGTGGAACGCACAGCTCGTGGGGAACCCTGGGTCACGGGGTTAACGTGGTGCAGGAATGGGCTGCCAAAGGCGCCCTCCAACCTGCACGGCCTGTCTTAGCTCAGGACAGAGCTCCCCGCTCCCCCGTTTCTCACAGGTAAACAGGAGCCAGGACCAGCTGGCTGGTCATTCGGAAAAGCGTGATGGCGCAAAGCGAGCAGGCGTTACCTCTTCAAGACCTTTCCCGATCCTACGCCCTTCACCGCCTCCTCGTCACCTCGCAGCACAGCAAGGAAATTCTGCGGTGTGACAGCCTACAAGGAATGGGGAGTTGACGTCAGACATGCCATTTCAAATCAGAGGTTTGCTGAGTCTGTACAGACCGGGCCACCAGCCCACACGTGTCCAAGGCCCGAGGTTTAAGAGCAAACGCCTCGGAACTGAGAAAGACCCAATAAGGCTGATGTCTCTGGAGCAAGTGCCTGGCCTCTTCGCAAGGAACATCCTGTCTGGCTGAGGGCACTCGGCAGCCTGCGTTCCTTCTCGGCCGTTCGAGAGGCCGAGCGGAGGGGCCGACGGTGCTGGGCAGCGGGGTAAGCGGCAGAGGAAGAGCACACCACCAGAGAGGAGGCAAAGAGGCAGCAGAAACGTCTGTTCTGGGCCCACCCTTGCCCAGCTTGGGTGCCTAGAAGGCCAAATCCCGAGGACATATGATGTCCTCAAAGGAGATCTTCTAAATTGATACTTGATTAAAAAAAAAAAAACAAAAACAAAAACAAAAAGCAGCAATACAGGAAAGCACAAGGGGAACAAAAATCCGACCACTTAGATCCCAGACATTTCCTATTCAGGGTGGGCAAAAGTAGGTTTAGTTTTAAGTATATGAAAGTTTATTCTTTTAATTAATTATTGTATTCTTTCCCACCCATACAAGCAACTATAAACCTGTAAAACTGACTTTTGCCCCACCCTATAAAATTACGTAGAAAGAATTTCATAGCTGAAACCGGTTTGGCTCGGTGGATAGAGCGTCGGCCTGTGGACTGAAGAGTCCCAGGTTCGATTCCGGCAAGGGCATGTACCTTGGTTGCGGGCACATCCCCAGTAGGGGGTGTGCAAGAGGCAGCTGATGGATGTGTCTCCCTCATCCGTTTTTTCTAACTCTCCCTCTCCCTTCCTCTCTGTAAAAAATCAATATATTTAAAAAAGAATTTCATAAAGATGGGATCGTCTATATTACATGTATGATGTGTTCAATTTAACTGTACCTGAATTTAAGAGAGAAAACTGAAACTGAAAGGATTGCTAAACTTCACAGAAACATTTACAGCCAGAAATATCAATCAGTTCCTAAAAGATCCCTCTCATAGTAAGAAAAGGAGATTATGAAGCCCCTCCAGAGTGGCTCAGTGGTTGAGCGCCAACCTATGATTCCGGAGATCACTTGTTTTAGTCCTGGTCAGGGCACATGCCTGAGTTGGGGACTGGATCCACGGTGTGGGAGTGCAGGAGGCAGATGATCCATGTATGTCTCTCATCGATGTTTCTCTTTCTCTCTCTCTCCCTCCTTCCCTCCTATTCTCCCTTCCTCTCTAAAAATAAAAAAATCTTATATAATAAAGAGGTAATATGCAAATTGGCCCTCACACCCTCACATCACAAGATTGCTGCCCCCACATCATCACAAGATGGCCACCACAAGATGGCCACCCCCACATTGTCACAAGATGGCATGCGGGGGAGGGCAGTTGGGAGTGACCAGACTAGTAGGGGAAGTTAGGTGTCAATCATGCCGGCAGGGAAGCGGTTAGGGGCAATCAGGCAGCCAGGCAGGCAAGTGGTTAGGAGCCAGCAGTCCTGGAGTGTGAGAGGGATCCCAGATTGCAGAGGGTGAAGGCTGGGCTGAGGGACACTCCCCACCCCCACCCCAGTACATGAATTTCGTGCACTGGGCCTTTATAAAGACCGGGCTCACCTCCCCGGTGTAGTCCTTCAGGACCCCCTTGTACACGTCCGTGCCATTGGGCCTGTTGATCACAACTCCAGGAGTGGGGTTCCTGAAAATCAAAGGACACAAAGTCTGACATGTCTCTGAAACCTCTCTCTGCAAAACGATGCCCGGACACAGAAAGATGGTAACTGACTGTCGAAGGAACTGCTCACTGCCCAACAGTCACCAAGTACAATGCTCTTAGCAGCTTGGGGATGCCGATCATCCCGCTTTCAACGCTTCGAAAGCGCCAGCCCCAAACCCCCTTCAACTCCACCGCCCATGTCCCTGCCACTGCCAGGGTGCCCCACGCTATGTTCAAAGCTCTACACGGAGCGGCCCTGTGAGAATCCACTGCGAGTCTGTTTATCCTGATGTTAGGCCCCTGGTAGGAGGACGCCCGCCACCCACGAGAGCACCACATACTCACTCTTCTGAGGTGGCGATGTCATCGTACATCATCACCACGATCTGCTCGTCGGGAATCCCATTGCGGTGGACGATCTGGTAGGCGTGGCACGCGTCTGCCTGGGAGACACGATTTCAGCAAGCCTTAGGTTTTGCCCAGGAGGAGGCCAGGTTTGGGGTTTTAATGAGCAGCACGTTCTTTCTCCAGGAAGGCATGCCGGGAGTCCTTCCCTCTTGGTCAGGTCTTTAAATTATTTTAGAGCATAAACACTTACATTTTGGCACCCAATTTTTAAAAATCTCACTCCACCCCATTATCCAAGCTCTTATTCATCAGGCAGTCAACATATATGTGGTCTACAAACACACACACACGCACACGCAGACACACATGCACGCACATACAAACCACCACCACTGCATCCATTTAAAGGTAACAAGAGCCTTGAAAAGAAAATCAGCATTATGTCAGATTTAACTCACCCTTACAATGATAGTGGAAGTGAGCAGACACACCCACCAACTCACCTATTAGTTATTACTCCTGCCTGAACATAAGCTCATTAAAAAACAAAAACTCACAGCGTAAATCTAACAAAATCAGTGCTCACACACTGCAAATTACAAAAGACTGCTGAGGGAAATTCAAGATCTAGACAAACGGGCATCTCATATTCATGGATCAGAAGACTTAGCACTAGGAAACCTTTTTTTAAAAGATCAGCAGGTTTTTGCAGAAATTGACAGGATGAACCCGAAACTCATATAAAATTGCAAAAGACCTAGTATAGACAAATTTTGAAAAAGAACAAAGCTGGAGGACTTTCACTTCCTGATTTCAAAACTATTCCTGGGAAAGGACAGTCTTTCAGCAAATGGCGCGGAGACTATTTGGATATCCACATGAAAAAAGATGAATTTAGGCCCTCATTTCAATCTCAACACGAAAATTAGGCCAAAATGGATCACAGACTTACCTAAGGGCTAAAACAAAACTATTGAGAGGCAACAGAAAATCTTTGGAACCTTGAGTTACAACTGCAAAGATGTTACAGATATATCACCAAAAGTCTGGTCTATAAAAGAAAAAATTGTCTAAATCGGACATCATTAAAATGACAAACCTTAGCACTTCAAAAGACACTATTAAGAAAAGGAGAAGACAAGCAACTGAGTAAGAGAAAATATGTGCAAAACACATTATGTAACAGGACTTGTCAGAATTTGCAAACTCTTGTTTTTTAATAAGATTAAGATTATCCACCTGGGGGGGGGAAAGATTTGAGTAAAGATCACTTAAGAAGATACACAACACACACTCCCAGGCCCGGTAGAGGCAGCCAAAAACAGCGGATTATGTGGTAGCTCCGGACAGGTAGCCCAAGGCTGGTTACAGGCAGCATCTCACACCAACCTGCACCGGAATCCCACCCAAGTGGACCAGAACCAGCACAACCAGTGGTGGGCTTCAGACCACAACAGAAGTTGGCCCAACTAACCACACAGGTGGCACACCCAAAGAGAGATCCTGGCAGGCTCCAGACCTTGCTGGAAACAACTCCTAGGGCGGCGCCCTACACAGTGGCTCATACAACATGTGATCGAGGTCTGTTCTTATAGTCAGCCAGACTGATGGTCAACCCCACCCACGAACAGGCCAACAGCATCCAAGACTCAACTACAACAGGAGGGAGCACATAACCCACAAAACAGAACTTCCTGGGCACGGGGCTCAGATGATCTGGAAAATTGCACCACTGAGCCCCACAAGACACCTGGAACAGAAAACCACCATAACAAGTTTGGGAGTCATAGAAGATCTACCCGATACACAGAGACAAGCACACACAAAAAATAGACAAAATGGGAGACAAATGAAAAAACAAAACAGGAGAAGTCCCCAGAAAAAGAATTATATGAAATAGAGGCAAACAAGATATCAGACGCAAAGTTCAAAACCATGGTTATAAGGATTCTCAAGGACTTAGGAGAAGAATGATCTCACTGAGAACTTAGATAGTAAACGTGAAGAAGGTCATAGAAACCATTTTTTAAAAGTCAGAAATGAAGAACACAATATTTAAAATGAAGAATATACTAGAAGGAATGGGCAGAGGTTAGATGAAACAGAGGACTGAATCAGCAAGTTAGAGGACAAGATAACAGAAAACACCTAAGCAGGAAAAAAAAAAAAAGAAATTTAAAAAACGAGGAAAGTCTAAGGGACATCAAGCATAACAACATCCATATCATAGACATATCAGAAGAGAGAGTGAGCAAGGGGTCAAGAATATGTTTGAAGAAATAATGGCTGAAAACTTCCCTAAACTGATGAAGGAAAAAGGGACACACAGTCCAGGAAGTCCAGAAAATCTCAAACAAGATGAATCGAAAGAGGCCCACACCAAGACACATCATAATTAAAATGGCAAAGGTTAAAGATAAAGAAAGAACCTTAAGAGCAGCAAGAGAAAGACGGTTACTTAAGAGGGAACAACCATAAGGCTGCCAACTGATTTCCCAACAGAAACGCTTCAGGCCAGAAGGGATTGGTGTGAAATATTCAAAATAATTTTATTAACCAATATAACTCAATAAATTCAATTTTTTTTAAAAAAAGAAGATACATGAATGGCTAATAAGCACACAAAATGATCCCAATATCATTAATTACTAGGGAAATGCAAATTAAAACTACATTGTGCCCTTGCCAGTGTCCCACAGTTGAAGAGGTTGTCCCATGCACTAGAAGGTCATGGGTTCAATTCCCAGTCAGGGACCATGTCTAGGTTGCAGGTTCGATCCCCAGTCAGCGCTCTGTCTGGGGTCAACTGATCAATGTATATCTCTGCACATCAATGTTTTTTTCTCTCTACCTCTCCCTCTCCCCCCCCCCCCCCGTCTCTAAGATTAATTAAAATATACAGTATATATGCCACAATAAGATACCACTTCATAGCTAGACAAACAAAACCAGTGTTAGAGAGAATGTGGAGAAACTAGAACCTCCATTCACTGTTGAGGGAATATAAAATCATGCAGCCACTTTGGAAAACAGTTTAACAGTATCTTAAGAAGTTAAACATAAATTTGCCATATGACCCAGCAAATCTACTCTACTGTATCTGCCAAAAAAACAAAAACAAAAACATTAATCCACACAAATGTTCTTGGCAGCGTTGTTCATAAGAGGCAAGAAATGGAAACAACCCATATGTCTGCCCACTGGTAAATGGACTGACAGATGTAGTCTATCCACATGATTTAACATGCTCTGGCAATGAAAACGAAGTCCTGACACATGCTACAACACAGATAAACCTCACAAACACCACGCTAACAGAAACCACACACAAAAGACTGCATGTTGTGTAGCTCCATGTACATGCAATGTTCAGAAATGGCAAATCTGTGGAGACAGAAAGTAGTAGTAGCTGTGGGTAGGGACTGCCAATAGGTGTGAGGGGCCTTACTGGGAAGATGGAATCTTCCTAAAACTAATTTATGATGATGTTTGCACAACTTGGCAAATTTACTTTAAAAAATCATTGAGCGTGCACCTGGAATAGATGAATTACATGTGATGTGTGAAACATTTACCTAATAATAAACATGTAAATTGACCATACCTCTGCTACGACACCAGCCAATCAGGAGTGATATGCAAATTAACACACCAATAATGAGTTAATTTGCATACACAGACATGGAGTGACGAGGGTGCTCCCCCCCCCCCCCCCCCCCCCGCCCGCAGGATGCAGGCATTCTGCCCCACCCCCAGTCTCTCAGGGCCTCTGGGCAGCATGGGAAGGCGGGGCCAGAGTGGAAGTGGCTGGGCCGGAGTGAAAAGGCAGTGCCGGCAGCCAGGGAAAGGAAAGCCCATTCTAGCAGGAATCTTCGTGCATCGGGCTTCTAGTGTTTCTATAAAGTTGTATCTTTTAGAAAGAGCAGGTTCAGCATGTTCCGGGTTAGCACTCTCCCACACTGGTTGAACTCCTCACACCGCCTTGACAGGAAGCTGTTTCCCCCCTGTAATACCCTCCCTCCCCCCCTTTCATGGGTGGAAACAAGCTCAGAAGGGCTCAGTGCTTCCAACCCGGGTTCCAATCTCCCCATGCCTGGTGCCATCGTCCACTCCACACTGTGGTCTCAAAGGCACATCTCATTCTCTCGTGGGTCCTTGGAGGTACTTAGTTCCCTCTAACTTGAACTCACGGGGGGGGGGGGGGAGAGGGGGTTCTTTGTATGAGTCAAGTATTTACTGGCACTCAAAAGAAATAAAAGTAGGGTGAAACCAATAAAAAAATGTGGAAATGGTGTTGAAGGCTACTTGACTCACTTCCCTTGAACATATCTGTCCTATATGAATTTTCCCCCTTAAAACAGAAGGGCCATGTGAGGTAACATTTGAGGGAGGAGGGGAGGGCATTGAGCAAGACTTGACCCTTGGGACTGCTGAGCAGAGATCACTGTGGTCAGCATGTCTCAGCGCTCGCACTGGGAGTTCCGATGGGCGTGCTAATGCATCCTGTGACTGCCTGCTGTAGCTCTGGCCTGCCCCTGTCTGCTCCTGCTGCCTCCACCTCAGGCCAACTGTCAGCTACACGGACAACCTGCTTGGAACAAAGACCAATACAGCTGGCATGCTCTGGTCTCAGTCACTGTGAAGGGGTTCCCACGGTCTGCTCATCCTTGTACTGTTGCTATTTGGCTCTGTTGACTAATCAGCGGTCGGCAAACGGATTAGTCAACAGAGCCAAATAGCAACAGTACATCTATTGACATTTCTTTATGTGGCTCTCGAGCCACAGTTTGCCGACCACAGTGCTAAGTGAAAAGCTACACACGCAAGACTACATATTGTCTGATTCCATTTATAAGAAATTTCCAAAGGAGGCAAAACAAGAGAGACAGAGCAAATCCATGGTTACAAGGGTTTGGGAAGAAACAGGGAGGACTGACTGCAAAAGGCACCAGGGAACTTTCTAGAACGATGGGAATTGTCCTAAAACTAGACTGTGGCGAGGCTTGCACCACTGTATGACTTTACTAACAATCACTTAGCTGTGCAATTCTCACAAGTGACTTACGACGTGTATTAGTAAACTTATGCCTCGTGAAGCTGTTTTTAAAAAGGGATAATGGGCCGAAACCGGTTTGGCTCAGTGGATAGAGCGTCGGCCTGCGGACTGAAAGGTCCTGGGTTCGATTCCGGTCAAGGGCATGTACCTTGGCTGCGGGCGTATCCCCAGTGGGGGGTGTGCAAGAGGCAGCTGATCGATTGATTGTGCGCAAGAAGCAGCTGATCATTGATGTTTCTCTCTCTCTCTCTCTCTCTCTCTCTCTCTCTCTCTCTCTCTCTCTCTTCCTCTCTGTAAAAAGTTGATAAAATATATTTAAAATAAATAACTAACCAAATAAATAAAAGGGGATAATGGGGCATGTGCACCCTTTCTTCTGATAACACCTGGCTCTCCTCCAATTCCTGATAACAAAGAACTTCACCTTCAACCTACATCAACCCCATCCCCACCGCCATCCCCAGGCCTCAGATCTTCCTTCTCCACAGGCTCAAACCTCGGTCCTAAGAGAAACCCACCTCCAGCCCCATTGCTCCCCAGGACCTAAGTCCACAAGCCTGTCAGAGGAGACTGTACCGCCCTCACCTCGGGCTGCCTGCCCTTCGGCCCTCTCCCTCTCACTTCCACTCACTGGAGCTGCTTACGCCCCACCACTGTGGTCATCCTCCATCCCCAGGCCTTACCCTCCCCACTCTCAGAATGTCACTCAGGAGTCCCAGCCAAAAATGGAAATCCAGTTTGGTCAAGACAAAGCACAGAAAAGCACTTAGCAATGACTTAATTGTGCCTGGTGTGCAATTAAGAAAGTTGTGATAAGGAGTGCTGTCTTAATCCAAGGAAAGTGTATGCCTTTATAAAATGTATGTAAAGGTCTATATAGGTTCTACAGGGAAAGTTCTTTCAGATGCTTTTTTTTTTTTAATATAGAGAGGAAAAGAGAGGGAGATAGAAACATCAATGACAGGAGAGAATCATTGATCAGCTGCCTCTTGCACGCCCCACACCTAGGATCAAGCTCACAACCCTGGCAAATGCCCCAACCACTGAGCCATGCCGGCCTCAAATGCTTTTAATGATTAGCCTCCAAAGTCAAGAAAGCAAATGTTGTTTGCCGAGACCGGTTTGGCTCAATGGATAGAGCGTTGGCTTGGGAACTGAAGGGTCCCGGGTTCAATTCCAGTCAAGGGTATGTACCTTGGTTGTGGGCACATCCCCAGTAGCGGGTGTGCAAGAGGCAACTGATCGATGACTCTCTCTCATCGATGTTTCTAGCTCTCTATCTCTCTCCCTTCCTCTCTGTACAAAGTCAATAATATATATATATATATATATATATATATATATATATATATATATATATATATAAAGCAAATGTTGACAGCTGGCTGGGAACGGAATCAGGCCGGCAGGGATAGGGCCTGAGGTCAGCAATGACTCAACACACGTGTTTCCTCTCTGCTCGGCCTCCGTGGCCTCAGCACTGTCGTCCTCTCTCATTTAGGGACAACTATTTCGGTCTGCGGCCACTTCTTTTGCCTTGCTTCCCTTTATTTCAATGATAAGTATTTACCCAGGGAAACTAGTAACACTTAAGAGGAAAAAAAAAAAGGTTTTCTGGGTGCGAAGGTTCATTGGATACCTACACTTAATAATGTTTAACCAATATTTTTTAAAGTTGGTTGTATAAAAACCAGGGTGGCTGATGAATCAGCCTGTTCACTATCGGTCCCCACTGAGTGCCTCATCTTTCTACCTTGTGGGGAGGAGGGAGGAAGTCAAGAACTGCTGACTCGGGTTGCTTCTCTGGAAATGGGTCAGGCCTGTTGTTAAGTATTAAAAGGAAAAAGGGTCATTTTGCTATGACAAGTTTCTAAGATAGCCAGATGTCCAATTCAGCTATCATACAAATGTCATTCTTCAATAACCATCAATCTTAGAGCTCGCAAGAGCTTATCTAAACAACCCTGTATCCAACAGATAAGAAAACCGACACCCAGCCCTAGCTGGTGTGGCTCAGTGGATAGAGTGTCAGCCTGCAGACTACAGGGTCCCAGGTTTGATTCCAGTCAAGGGCATGTGCTCGTGTTGCGGGCTGAATCCCAGTAGGGGGCGTGCAGCAGACAGCCAATCAATGATTCCCTCATTGATGTTTCTATCTCTCTCTTCCTTCCTCCGGGAAATCAATAAAAACATATTTAAAAAAGGAAAGAAAATTGACACCCAGGTGCGGAGACACTGCCCAGCCATTAGGAACACAGACCAGAGACCTGCGCTGGCCCATACAGCAGCCACTGGCCACGCACAGCGATTAGCACTTCAAATGTGCCCGTCCGTATGAACCAGACGTGAATATAAATGCACACTGGATTCCCACGGCTTAGAACCAATTATAAAATGTGAGGCATCTTGCTATCAACTTTTTATGTCCATTTATCAGTAAAATGATAATAGTTTGGATATGCTGAGTTAAATAAGATAAGGTTAATTTCACTTTTTTTTTTACTTTTTAAAACTGTAGCTACTAGAAAACTCACGACATATGTGGCTGTCCTACTGGACAGTGCTGCCTCAGAGCTCATCGGCCAGGGTTTGGATCCAGGCTCAGCACTTTGTCATCTGACCACACTGGGTCAAGTGCCGACCTTTTTCCTGCCTCAGCCCACTCACTCGCAAAGAGGGAATAAGAACCGGAACTACAGCATATAACCCACGACAGGGACTGAGTTCACTGTGTAAAAGGCTCTAGGACAGTTCAACACATACAGTCATCCAGTTTCTGAGAATTACAAAATGAAATGGCTTCTTAAATTACAACTTTACTCATTTATTTATTTTGATATTTTTATTGACTCAGAGAGGAAGGGAGCGGGAGAGAGAGAGAAACGTCAATGAGAAAGGTCAATGATGAGAGAGAACCACTGATCGGCTGCCTCCTGCTGGAGATTGAGCCCATAACCCAGACATGTGTCCTTGAGTGGAGTTAAACCCAGGACCCTTCAGTTCACAGGCCAACACTCTATTGAGCCAAACCAGCAAGGGCTAAGTTACAACTTTATTGAGGTATAATTCACATATCATAAAAGTCAGTCTTTAAAATATACAACCCTGTGGTCTCTAGCATATTCCCAAAGTCATGCAACCATAATCACTATCTAATTCTAGAATATTTCATCTTCCCAAAAGGAGATCCCATACCCTTCAGCAGCCATTCCCCATTGTCCCCTCCACCCAGATCCTGGCTACCACTGACCGATACTCTGCCTCTGTAGATTTCCCTGTTCCGGACATTGGATGTAAACGGGACCTTACAATTCGTGGTCCTGTGCAACTGGCTTCTTTTATTTAGCATGTTCTTAAGGCCATCCCTGTGGAGGTACCGGTACTGTGTTCCCTTCCATGACCAGTAGCATCCCCTTGTGTGGACAGATCACGTTTTCTTTATCTGTCCACCAGCTGATGGACACCTGGATTGTTTCTACTTTCTGGCTACGATGAATAATACTGCTCTGATCTTTCAAGTACAGGTTTTTGTGAGAACATACGTGTTCCTTTCTCTTGGGTGCGTGCCTAGCAGTGGAACTGCTGGGTCATATGGTAACTCTCTGTTTAACCTTTTAAGGAACTGCCAGACCGTTTCCCCAACCGGCTGCGCCATCCTTTCGCTCTAACTTCTGCCAGGCCGACTGGTTGGAAATGCCAGGAACGATGGGGAGCGGGGCAGGGAGAGCAGCAGGCAGAGGCCTGGAGGGCAGAGGCTTTGTGAGGCTTTGGCCAGACCCCTGGGCTTCACTCCTGTCTGTACCTCAACTTCTGGGCTGCCTCAGGGAAGTCACTTCCTCTCTTTTAGGTTCAGTTTCCTTTTCTGAAACAGGAAAGTAATGGCCAGTGGATCTCAACTAGGGACAGCTGGCAAAGACTGCGGTGGGTGATGCCCCTGGTTTCCAGTGGGCAGAGGCCCAGGACGCTGCGAACCACCCCACAGGAAGACTCCCACAGGATAACCCGGTCCCACACGTCAACAGCTCCAAGGTCAAAAGCCTTGGTGACTGAGGTGACGCCACAGGGGCCTGTTGGAGGAAATACAAACTGCTCTCCGAAACGGATGTACCATTTTACAACCCCCAGGACTGTGAGGGTTCCCATTTCTCCACAGCCTCGCCAACACATCCCTTTGCCAGCCTAAAGCGGTGTATAGGTCTTTTTAAAAGGTCTGCTCTTTGAACGACGTCCAGGGCTGTTCGGAATGCCAGAGCCACACACAGAGAGAGGAGCCGTTTTCCTACCTGGTGCCGGTAATTATACCAGCCGTTGGAGCCTGCGACGATGACCACCCAGTGCTTGCCTCCGTCCTCGGGGTCGTCCTCGGGAGCAGCACCAGTTCCCAGGACCACGCTGAGCAGCACGGCGACCTGCCACAGCATTCTGCACCGTGGCATCGCCTGCAGAAGTCTGGAAGAGGAAAGCCAAGTCAAGCCAAAAAGGAAGAACTGGGGGGTGGGGGGGAGCAATGTCAAAATATGTACACAGATAATAATTTAATAAAAAAAAAAAAAAAAAAAAAAAAGGAAGATCTGCTGGCCCCTAAGAAAGTATCATAGCAGCCTTGGCCGGTTTGCTCAATGGTTAGAGTGTTGGCCCTCAGACTAAATAAGGCAACTGTGGACCACCAATTGGCTACCGCTGGACTAAAGGGTCACAGATTTGATTCTGATTGACAGCACGAACCTCCACTGCAGGCTACACCCCCGGCCCTGGTCAGGGCAAGAGTGAGGGGCAACCAGTCGGGGTGTGTGTGTGTGTGTGTGTGTGTGTGTCTCCCCCTCCCTTCCAGTCTCTTTAAAAGTCAATGGAAAAAAATATATTTGGGTAAAGATTAACACACACAAAAAAAAGAGAGAGAGAGAGAATTATAGTAAGTGGGTCATATGATAAGACCACTTAGTCACCAGACAGAACATGCTGACAGAGCAGAATTCTGTTTTTAGCTCTGCTGCCCTTTCCCCAGGCGAAGGGGCTGCCCCGTCTCCCGACCTTCACTAAGAGCTGCAGTTTTAAGTACAAACTGAAGACTATGGAGAAAGCTCTTCGAGCAACCTTTGAGGTTCTGGCACAACTTGGTACAGAGCAGACAAAGTTCATCAGCAAAACCCACTGCATTAGAAAAATGCCTACCGCGTGCTTTCCACTGTTTGCAAGAAGAGAATACACATGTGATGGATGCATGGGGAAACGTGAGAGGCAAACATAAAAATCTAACAGTTTTATGACAGGCGGTAGGTAGAATTAAGGATGATTTTTCTTTTTTATACTTGCCCTTTTTATTACAATTGATGAATATTATATAATAAAGTTTGTCAAAGTTCAATATACATTCAATGTAAACATGGAATAACTATTTATTAGCTGGTGAACAAGCAAACTGGCAAGGAACAGCCCAACACTGGCAGCCCGCCCACCACTTAAACCCATTCACACGCATTCCGAAGCACAGGCAGGGCCAGAAAAGGGGGAGGCGGAAGCAAGAGAGAAGTAACCTGCCCAGGCGGCTCTGGCCCAGCCCAAAAGCTGGCCTTCTGAATTCCTGGTCCCGCCTTCTGCTATGTGCTCTGCATCTCCAGATTATTCTTTTTTCTTATTGTTAATCCTCACTGGAGGATGTTTTTCCATTTTTTTTAAAAGAGAGAATAAAGAGATGGGGAGAGACAGAGAAAAAAAGAAACATCGATGTGAGAGACACACATCAGCTGGCTGCCCCCTCCCCTGTCCTGGCACTGCCCTACCAGGGATCGAGCCTGCCACCGAGGTACGTGCCCTTGAAAGAATCAAACAAGGATCCTTCAGTCGTGGTCTGATGCTCCATCCACTGAGCCAAACCGGCCAGGGCTCCAGATTACTCTTAATGAAGCACATGCCCAAACCTGAAATAAGGTTTCAAAGCACCAAAGGCGGGACTGAGGCCGAGTCCTGGCCAGCTGCATTCCTCACCTCAGAGCCGGCCTCTGCCCTGAGAATGCTGTTCTAAAACCAGCCTTCCTGTGACAGAAGCCCGGCCTGCCACCCTGAGATAAAGGGAAAACAGTCTCTGGCAAGCAGGGCCTCAGGGCGGAGAGCCTGTGAGGCTGACTCTGCCTCTGATGCCATGGCACCGTTCGCTCATTCACCCGCTGTGCCAGTCTCTGAGCACCCACCCGTCAGACAAAGTGCCGGGTACTGGGAGGGCAGCAGGCCTCTGTCCTCACGGAGCCTGCAGCCAGCTAAGACATGAACCATCTCCATGCCTAAGAAACCATCCTTAGCACTCTGCCTAACCCAGGCCTAAAACTCAAAACTGGGTTTTCCCCACAAGTGAAGAAACAGGAAGCCTGAGGCTGGTGAAAGTTTAAAAACCTAAGGAGGCCTCAGGCCTGTGCTTCTCCAATTGGACTGTCCATCTATACCCCCCGGGGGTCTTGTTAGAATGCAGATTCTGATTGGGCAGGCCTGGGGTAGGGCCTGAGACTCTGCATTTCTGACCAGTGTCACTGGTGCCCAGGACTCCTATGGCAGGCCGCCTCATCAACCCTGGCAGGTGCCAGTCCACGTCTGCCCGGAAGCCCAGCATCCCGCCACTGCCTTACCCTCCGAGGTCTCCTCCCCAGAACTCAATTCCCAGTCTGTAAGCTGAACTGGTGCCAGACTCAGGTTTCTTTCGCTCCGCTGCAGGGCCAGGGATGGATGTCACCATAGGAGGGTGTCCCAGGTTTGTTTTAAAGATGATCCTTACATGGTGAATGGAGTGGATCCGGAGACATGGAAGCATGGAATAGAGTGTGGAATCTCGGAGGGAAGGCGGGCGTGGATGGATGGGTGGGAGGTAATCAACCAAAGACCTTTAATGTATATACTAGAGGCCCAGTGCACAAAATTATGCACGGTAGGGTCCCTGGTCCTCGCCTGCTATCAGGGCCATCTTCTGCCCATTTGCCAGTCCCCAGTCCCCAGCCCCGCCCTGCTGCCGACACCACCCCTGTTCCCAGTGGTTCCCCATTGGCCATCCAGTGATTGGAGCCTGCAGGCTGAGAGGAGGGACCCAGAGTTGATCAATGCATCTCATAACAACTGATCAATCGGTTGTTCTGGTCCTTATGCCATTATGGTTGCTGGCTTTTTATTAAATAGGATGTATAACCTGTGGAACACAGACAGTGGGGTGGTGAGGACGGGGGTGGACTGGAGTGGGTTGATGGCAGAAAAAAGGGGACATTTGCAATATTTTCAACAATGAAGATTTTTTTAAAAAAAGATTATCCTTAAATGACCAAGAGTCTGGTTGATTTTGTTTTTAGTATGGCGGGTAAGAGACATCAAAGTATAGGGAGACAAGGGCAGTAGAACAGGTGCCAGAACCCCCTGGCCTGTTAATGTGACCCACGCACCCACAGATGCTCTCCAAGCCTGCTATACCTCCCAGGGCTCACTGTGGGGCTCGGAGGTAACAACAGAAGGTACAATTACACAAACAAAAAAGGAAGCAATGGTAAGGCCAGGCAAGAGAAAGCCAAGAAGCAAAAGCACACCCCTACCCACTGAGCTCCCCAGTAGCCCCCACAGGGAGGGGGTGTAACAGTGGCAACTGAGATGACATTCAGCAGCTCTTCGATTCTGAGCTCACCCTTAATTGCTGGTTGCAACTAAGCCTCCCTGGGAAGCCTTCTCCAGGATAGGAGTTTGTAAACAGCCTATCTAGTAAAAGAGTAATATGCAAATTTACCATCACTCCAACACACAAGATGGCCACCCCCATGTGGTCAAAGATGACTACCGCCATGTGGACACAATATGGCCGCCATAAGATGGCCAGCAGGGGAGGGCAGTTGTGGGGGTGATCAGGCCTACAAGGGAGGGCAGTTGGGGGGTGACCAGGCCTGCAGCAGAGGGCAGTTGAGGGGACCCAGGCCTGCAGGGGAGGGCAGTTAGGGGTGATCAGGCCAGCATCCCTCTAGGGGTCCCAGACTGGAGAGGGTTCAGGCTGGGTTGAGGTACACACACCCTGTGCACGAATTTCATGCACCAGGGATCTAGTTTTCAATAAAAGGCTGGACAGCCAATATCCCCAGCCTTGCGGGTCATGCCATCTCCTGCCACAGCTACTCCACTCTCCCACTGTACCACGAAAGCCCCAGAGACGTGGCTATATTATGATAAAACCAGGGTCCCTTTGGTCTGTCCTAGGGAGTGAGCAGGTGTCCTCTGCCCTCAGCATGGCTGGTTTTATCATCTTTCCTCCACACCATTAACCGGCTCCCTGGTTTACACACCAGGCTGAGTCCACTCATGTGACTTAATCCCGAGGAGACTCCTTCCTCTGGAGGCACTCCCTGGTGAAGAGTCAGGGACCGAAAGGATAAATAAAACACTAGAATCCATGGCTGGTCTGACTGTGACCAGAATGCGCTACACTGCCTAAATTAGCATATAAAGCAACAGCTCCTGAAAGTACCGCCAGATTATTTTTTTTTGAAATTCAAGTTTTCCTTTCATCCTTCTACTAATTTACTAGCAGGTTACTTCTCAGTGAGGGAAAGGGCCTTATACACGCACAGTGATGCTTTTATAGTTAACACCTGGCGATGGCTTTCCTCTATCATTTTCTTTTATAAACAGAATGTGGTTCCTTGAACATAACGGCAAGTTAAAAGCCTCACAGTAACAAAAACAAACAAAAAGCCTCACAGTATGACACTGATTGGAAAATGTCACTTTAGAAAGACACAGGTACTAACATTATTTGGGGAAACATACCTATATGTTTCGGGGTGAAGATGAAAAATGCAAGTACTATAATCATCCCATCACCCTTGGCAGTGAGCACTTAAAGCAGCCGGCCTCAGGCGGCCATTTCCTCCTGATCAGCAACATTCCTGACAAAGCCACAATCTTGCAGCAAAGTGAAAAACTCCTCAAGAAAGTGCAATGATCCCCGCTGAACTAGCTCTTTGTGACTGCTGCTTTCAGTCTCTCACTCCCCGCCCCCCCCAATCCATCCAACTAACAGGGCCCAGCACCCGCCACCAGGTGCTCACAGGCACCAGAGAGAGAAGCAAAGGAACAAAACCCTTCTCGGAGCTGCCATTCTCCTGGGAAGAGACCATTGAAATGCAGAGGTGAGCCGGAACCGGTCTGGCTCAGTGGATAGAACATCGGACTGCTGACTGCAAGGTCCCAGGTTCGATTCCGGTCAAGGGCATGTACCTTGGTTGCGGGCACATCCCTGATGGAGGTTGTGCAGGAGGCAGCTGATTGGTGTTTCTCTCTCATCGATGTTTCTAACTCTCTCTCTCTCCCTTCCTCTCTGTAAAAAAAAAAAAAAATCAATAAAAATATAAAAAATAAAAATATTAAGGCAGATCTCAATGTGTCAAGAGTGGAAAGATCTCCGAGG